ACATGCAAAGGGCTGAGGAAAATTAAGCAACAAATCATCTATACCATGCAGTCATTGTCTTGTTAAAAAAAAAAATTATAGGCCCAGGGATTTAATTCAGAAGCATACTGCTTGGGAAGTACTAGGTTGTGAGTTCAATTCCCAGTACCAAAAAATTAAAAATAAAAATATAAATAAAATAAAAAAAATTAAAAGAACTAAAAAGACACCTCTTTTGTTCCTAGAAGGATGATGCATGAGTTTACCCAGAAGACTGAAATTTCTTTAACAATTCATTCATTCAATAAATACCTTCTAGATATCTTTTAGTTCCAAGTGAAAGGAACATGTCAATTTTCAAGAAACAATAAAACACTTTCCCTCATAGAGTTTATATCACAGGATAAATTAGGATTATATTTATATATTTTTTTAAAAAAATCACTTATTTGCAAATATATACGCTATGCAAAATTCATAAAATTGTCTCATAAAGCTTAAAGTTTATGTTTATAAATCTTCATATTTTGCATTTTATTTGTATATGTACAAATCTTTTCAATTTTAGAAATGTAAGTTGATGGAATTTTGTATTTATCATATTAAATGTTTATAAGGAGACATATTATTGCCTTGAATTTTCAGAAATGGAAATTATGCTGCAGAGAGGAAAAGTAAAGTTTCTTCAAGATCTCCAAGGCCAGTTAATTATGGGAGAGTAAATTATTTGTTCATAACTTTTGGCAAGCAAGTTATTGATGCTCTATGTGCCACATTCTGAAGCAGCCACTCTCATGTACAGTACACACAGAGCAGAGATAAAAGGCCTTCGTCCATCCCAGGATACAAGCATCTCGCCCCTTTGCTGGAGACAACATTCCCGGAAGGGCTTGGTCCAGCCCTTGCTGGCTTCTAAGGTCCGGGATTCTGCTCTCCTCCCCTGAGCTATAATACATGACTCGTCTGTGGTAGCTTCTAGAATCAGTTCCCACTGAGGACTTGTCACACATCGATCTCTTTTTTCCTATCCAGACATTCAGCAGTTCCTGCACTTAGTTACATCTCTGCACTTTCTAAAATTTATTCACTCTTAGATTTTGTTAAAAAACAAGTGATGGGTCTAATATCCAATAGGCCACAGTCAATGACTGAACACAAATGTGAACAGAAAGGTGAATCTGTCAACATCTAAATTTCTTATCCTCCTCTGGTTTAGAAACTGCTCCAATCTCTCTTTCTCTCTCTCTCTCTCTGTCTCTCTCTCTCTCTCTCTCTGCCCCTCCCCCTCTCCCTCCCCCTCTCCCTCTCCCTCTCTCTGTTTCCCTCTCTGTATTTATTTTAATCTCCCAAATTCTACATATGATACCAATCTATATGTTCTCTACGGTTCCTTTTTACTACTTTAGTTTATATTTTGATTTAATAAGAAATGTACAAGAATAAAAGAAATATACACAAAAAGAAGCCAAGTAATAAACTACATAGCCTATTGAGAAAGAATGAGTCACATTATTGTTGAGAGGCCTAGAAGCATACCATTGTTCTGTTCATAGTAAGGCTTTCTGTAATTCAAAATATTCATTCAATAAACAACTCAACCTATACATAATAGGTTAAATCTATTGATCATCTCACCAAACTATTAATTGAATAGAAATAAATGTTAAAATGGTATAAAGTCTGTGACAAATAGGATGTTACTTACTATGTGTGTTTTCTATATGTGTTGAATGTGGAAGATGTATTAGATGAACAGTAAGACATTAAATATTTCCTACATGCAGGCAACCCACATCTTTTCCCCAAACTGACTTAGCACATGACTAAATCTATCAGAGCTTATGAAAATTTATTACCTTTTATCTTGAGTCCCATATGGGGAAAAGGACAGAGTTTCCCTGCAAATTATAACTCACAAAGCTACTGCGATTCCATATGCACAATCAATATTGATGAAGAAAAATGAAAGGGAGGCCACCTTGAACCCGTCACTGCAGCACCTGCAGGGATTCTGGGCGTTTTCAGGGGGTCCGCAGTTTTTTGCTGGCAACATAGACTGCTGGGCTCAATTCGGGGCTTTGATGAACTAAAGTTTATTCAGCTGGCTGGGCTAATTTCCTCTGGAAAATCAGCTCTGTGAAATCCACAGGTAGCTCCCCAGTTTTGGTTTTTCAAGGGACAGTTTTGCAAATCTAACACTTTGTGAACTTTGTCACCAATGGGGGCACACACACTCACACACCAACACATCTCAGATAACAACCGTGTACAGGCAACCTCAGCATGGAGCAGCATAGGGAACTTTCAACCCAATCACTGCAGCGAAACACAATCAGTGTGACACAGCTTCTGCAGAGAACGTTCGTACACATGACCTACAAAGCTACGACTGGGGGAGGGGAAGGGGACAAAACTGGTTATTTAAAGTCATTTCCAAACGCTGCTGAGTCCATTGCTTTTTAATGGGAGAGAAGATAATTACACCTGCAGCAGTATTTTATCTACATGGAAGTAAGTCAAAAACACATAGTCTGTGTTATGATTCAGAAAATCCTTCCCTACCTTGCTTTTATGCCATATTTCTGATTTTCTTCCTATTTACTGACTTAAGTTAAAGTGATTAACCATCTTCTACACTCCCTATTTTGAGGCCTGTGATGGACCTAGACAGCCATCCATGTCTTCTCCTCATTGGATGGGATTTGCCTCTGATTTCTCTGCTCCCATCAGTGTGGGAGCTCAGCCCCTTGCGGATCTCTAACGCAGCTGCTCAGTTTGGGAGCTGAAGAACTGGCAGCCTCTGCTCCCAAATACTTTGTTCAACCTTGGAAGACAGATGGAAGCAGGTCTCCCCATGGAGGACAGAGCAGACATGTGTACAGGCCAATCTAGTCATGGTGACAATTTGTCCTTCTGTGGCAAAGGGCAGGTTTTCTGAACCACCATTAAGAAGAAACCAAATGTCCTGAATGCAGGATGACAGGGCATAATCTGCTGTATGTAGATGTCACCCAGTGCTCATCCTGTAGGTAGTGGGGCACAGAGCACAGCTGCAAAGAAATGACAGTCCCTTGGGTATTATAGTGCTATAAGTAGCAAGTTTCATTTGTCCTTGTCTCTGTGGACGTTGATGAAATCTGAAGTCCTTCAGAGTTCTTGACGTCTCATTATCCTGCTTCTGTCCTTTTGATTATGGGATAGATTCTCTTCTTTACTCAGACCCTTTCTATGGTGACTTAAGTGGGTTGATGTGTCTTCCTTTCTACTTGGTTTCTCTCCAGGTTTCTGCCTCTTAACTTAGATGTTTCTCAGTCTAAAGTCCTCACATGTCCAGGAAAATGAGAATTAGATAAAAAGCGAGGTGACAATGAGCTAGAGTCAGAGGATAGAAACAGTTATCTATAAACCCCAAGGAAAGTAGAGAATATACATGGAATGTGAGCCTGTGGAAAGCCAGACAGCAATGCCCAGACAATGCCACCCCTGTTAGAGACACCCTTATAAAGCAGTATCGCTCCTGTGAGTTTTGAGATGTGTGCACAGTTAGGCTAGGCGCCTGGCGGGCTGGGCAGCTTTGAATCTATTTCTTTATTTCTCAGGGCTCAGTACTAAAAATAACACTCCATAGTTGTTCTATTTCTTCCTTACTAGTGCCCCAGGAATAAAATCGTACACACATATTCACTGAAATGTGGTTATCTCTAAACTGCTCAGGGATTTTTTCGTGTTTGTTGCCTCTTATTTGAGAAAGTTCCAAAGGGATGAGCCACAGCCCTCTGCAGAAAGACTGCTGGGAATCAGTAAAAACTTGACAAAATTCAGCAACACTAGCCAAGTACACCAACAATTCTGATTCAACAGAGTGGAGTGGACCCAGCAGTTCCCACTTGTGGTGGATTTCTTGAGCAAGTCCACTAATGCTGGTCTGCAGAGCTCTCAAAGAAACCCTGCCCTAAAAAATACTTCCCTCATCTAGCACCATGCAAATGTGCTCAGTCTAATAGAGACAGTTCAACTTCGGGGAACAGATTAGTCACTGACAAATGTGGGCTGATGACAACGATTTGCTCTGGCAGAGAGCTCAACGGCTAGGAGTGTTTTGAAAGTTATTTTTTGGCCCTGGAGACTGAAAGACTTTCATTAATGTGAAATAACTGATTAGTTTTAACATTCCTGGATGTATTTGAGGCAATTTCTTCTAATCTGTGGTATAAAACTTTGTGTACATTTTTACCAAGCATCAGATATGGAAAGATGTGCAGATGGAATAAAAAAGTGAAGGATGGAGCTTGTATACATTTTTTTTTATAAAGTACTGGTATACCAAAGGTATTTGAGAAATTTTACTTGAGAAAATTAATAAGAATATATTTTAAAGAAAGACTATGGGGTTATTTTTGAAAAGTAAAGACAGTCATCGCTGTTCAGACAGTAATATGAAATACTGTTCATTTCAGTGCTTTGGGGCATTTAGCTAAATGGTGTAAACCAGCTGCACCAATGACTCTGTAGGCGTCTAACAAAACTTCCTAATAATGGCGAGCACAGGGAATTCTTTCTTAACTTATCAGTCTTTTCCAGAGTAAGTGGAACTAAACTATCCAAGTAACAAGTGTCACAGTACAGGTTTCCTTTTTGAGACCAAGTCTCTCTAAATGACCTGATCGGGACTTCAGCACTTAAACCTAGTTTTGGTGTCTTCTAGGTGAAAGCCACTGAGGAGGAACCATGCTTGCTGTAGACACAGTGTCACCATTCTTTGGAACATCAGAGGCTAGAATGAGATTGGAAGCCTGTCAGTCTATACATCAACTTGAATGCCTGCGGCATTAGTTGAGATGGTTGGTGTTACACAAAACAACCTGGTCAATATTTCACCACACACGCACTGTCACTGTCAGTGGGTGATATTTAGAAATTGTCCACCTCTTAAGAAAACAGCATCACCAGCTTCACACAATATGTTTTGTGTTGTTTAAGCTTTTCTTCCCAATGATCTTGGAAAATAACCCCAGACTTACAGTTGACGACGATTTTTACTTTCTTCACGTCTGGAAAGGACACATCATTTTCTGCACTGCATTCATATTCGCCAGCCTGGTCCCTTGTAATTGCGTAGATGTCCAAATACTGTCCACTGTCAAATGGTTTTGCTACCCCAAAAAAGAAAGGAAGAAAAAAGAAAGAAACAGCATGTTAAATTGTAGCTGCCTGAGGCTTCATTCAAGTAAAACAACAATCGTGTGAGTTCTTACTAGATACTGCTGACAAAACAATTCCAGATGAAACTGGGGAATTATTAAAGTCTTTGTTCTTGTGTGTTCACAGGAAAACTCCAAGACGAAAAAACAGAAGCAGAACAAGTTATATTATAACAACCATTTCCCCAGAGCAGGATATACATGTGCTCCTTTTAATTGATTGTGGTCCTCTAACCTCTTCACACATCAAATAGAGTTCTGCACATTTCTGTAATTGAGTTCAACAACCTTCTACCAGGGTAGATGAAATTCACTAATATGACTTGGTACATATTGACTTTTATACAAGGCGAGCCAGCAATTTGACACTTAACCCAGCTAAACGTTACTTTTCTTTTGGAGAAATCTATCTGCACTCACGTTTTTGAACCAGATGGCTTGATAAGAATATATAGATCTAAGAAACCATTGCCATACTTCTGTTTCCAAGAAAGTAACACTGTAAGAGCTGTATAAATCCATCCAACAAAATTTTTGAAAATTCTTCATTACTTTTAAACTTCAGAGTTATGTAATTATTTTTTAAAAAAATTCACCTTAGCTTTTTTAGTATTCCAGTGAAAACATTGTTTCACTAAAAATGATGATAGATTAAAAGCATCAAGTTATAATTACAGATGAAGGGTTATCCCCAGTGAATGAGATTTTAAATAAAAATTCTGTTCCTTAATAATGGAGTTGTTATTTAATTGAAAGCACAAAGCCATTGAGAAGGAAGGATTTTTGATTATCAGAGAAATGCAGTGCAAGGTGGTGCCTGTCTGAATTTCCCAACCAGGGACCCTACTCCCTCTTGATGTCAGCCTGGGAAAATTTCATTTCAGTGCGTATCAAAGCAAACTGCAAAGGAAACAATGGCTTCACTGCCTCATCTCTTTCTATAAGATGATGTTCTTTGTATCATCACTTGACAGTTTTTCAAGAAGTTGTAACAATCAAAGCTAATAAGAATATTTGATTTTAGTGAATCAACCAAGCTAAAGCTTCGCTTGGCTTTGCCAACCTAAGATCCTTTCCAATTAATTTTTTCCCCCATGGATTTCCTGAACCCACATGTTATCTGTGGCCAGTCTACCATTTAAAGATTCCAGGCAACCATGGGTTTGCTAACTAAAACTTTGAATGTTTAAATAACATAAAATTAAACTTTAATTTCTACTTATGTAGCCGATCTCAAGTGGTAGATAGAGGAGAGTGAACCCACTACTGTAGTCAGCTAATAACTATTTCGGTAATCTGGGTGTAAGCTCACAAAACAATATTTATTTCCACTACTCAAACTCTGAAGACCTAATTTTAAACTCATTCTTCTAGCCCATCACTTTTATTTGCTTGACTTTAGTAAATTAATACAGTCTTTAATTTCTATTTTTCTACATTTTTCTCTTAGTTTCACCTCTGTAAGAAACATACTCTAGTTTTATACATGCCTGCAAAAAAAAAAAAAACTATTAAGTATAGAGAACTGGATTCTTGTTCATATCTAAGAATTTTTTGGAGTGTAACTTGAATTATAAACTAAGAAGAATGTTAAATATCAAGTGAAGAATGGGAAGCAGTAAAACACTACCTCAGAATTAAATAATCTCTCTGGGTAGCACACAATGAGACAGTCACAAATGCCATGGTACACTACTGTGAAATTCTATAAAAATGAATTTATTAGGATTTAATATATTTTTCAATATTAAAAGGTTACTTGCACATTCCTGTTTTTGTGAACTGATGCAATTTCAATAATGCATACCTATGATAATAGGCTTGTAGCATAACCTACTTGAACAACCAAGTATGTATTATTTAATCCTTAAGGAAATAATTAAATGTGAAGGACATGGGTATATGTCTGGTTGTTTATGCTCAATCTATCAGAGATAGGGACAACAGTTTTCAAGAGTATGAAAAAGTAGGAATAAACACAGTCATATATCTAGCAAGAATCAATAAACACAATGAAAAGTAGGAAACAATAAGCTCAAAACATTAAGAAGAAAAGTGATTTTATTTCTGGCCTCCAGCCTGCCTCATAGCACACTAGGAACCCCTAAGGACTTCAAGAAGCTGTACTACAAAATGCCACCAGATTCAAGGCCTTCATGTGAGATAACTCCAAGAGAACCATTCATACTCAGTGAGCAAGTGTTCCTGAAGCTGACCATGTGGTTTATCTAATATATATTTGGGACTCTTATCCAACCCTGATATAGAATGAAGTCTGCATTTACAAATAAAAGAATTTACAGGAAGTGGCTATTCATTGCATAAACCATAACCCAAGAGCTGTAGAGCCGGCAAATGGATTACTTTACCAACAATATCAATTGTATATCATTAACATAAAGATACTGAAGAGAAAGAAATCTCAAACCCATGGTCAACCTCTTTCTATCCACCAGAGTCCTGGCAGTTAGGGCCATCTGCTTCCATGCAGCCTGCATCAGCTCTTCTTAAAGGTTGGCAAGTGTTTCTATTGTTTTTACACAAATAACTCTGTTTCCATCCTGAATTTATCATTCCTCTATTCCTACCAGAACTGAATTGCAGATTTTAAATTTAGAGTTTCTTTATCTAGGATATGAATTCTGAAGTTCCCTAGTTGTCTATCAGTGTTTTCAGCTGCCTCTTTGATTTTTGCCTGTGCTCTGCTTTTCTTTAGTATTAACTCTTTCACTTAGTTCTATACACAAGGAAGTCAATCCTGCCATTAGAAACTTGGTTAGTAATGACCTCTGTCTGCTTCTGTTTACAGCAAAGTATTTGCCACGGGATATTGAAAGGCAGCATAGACCATTTCAGTTCAGACATGCTATAGAAATCAATCTATCCTTCCACATGGAAGGGAAGCTCAAGGGTACAAAGAAACAAACGCAGGAAGGCTACCACCCAAACTGAGACTGTGTGTTTCTGAGGAGCAGGGACTGTCTAAGTGTATCTATTATAAGTCTAGACATTAATATGTGTTTTGTCTCCCATGGTGCCAGTTATAAATGAGATATAAACACATTAATATATAATAAGCACTTTCAGGTCACAGGTTTTATTGTCCACCAATGTCATTGCAATTTCTTTTGTTTCATTTTGTGCTTCTAGATCTCACATAATGCATAAAACATCATGTACTTTATAAGTATTTATTGAATAATTAAATAAAACGATAAATGAATTAATATGGACACATGTGGCAAATGCTTACATTTGAAGAAGTCGTCACTTCTCTTTCAGAGCTGTCAAGGAAAATAATTTTAGAAAGAGATGTCATCTTTATTGACATCCCAAAGCGATAGGTGGTGTTTGGGTCAGAGATCCTTTTTAAGAACATAAAGAGCAGACCAACAAAAACATTAAATACAATAGAAGCAGTTTTCTCTTGTGTATCGTCTCTTCCAAGCTGAGATAGATCTTTCTCAAAAGACAGAGAACTAAAGAAATTTCACCACCTTTCAGTGACATCCATATGGTGACATCCTTACAAAAAATTCCTTCAAAGGGATGTTAAAATGTAGGGTGCAGTTATGCTTTGAAACAGCTCTTTGGGACTGACTTTTTATATGAACCCGAACAGAAAGAGTTGTATGTCAACCTCTCAACATTATGAATCCTTGGGCTTTGAGGATTGCTAAGGCATTTGAACAATTCCTTATGTTGCATATAAATATTTTTGTAGTGACATCAAAATTTATATACTTCAGAACAATATTTTCAAATAAAATTTCCTTCTTCAATTGCTGACATTGTTCCTTACTTAGTTTTCCTCTCATCTCTCTGTTCAATTTCTTTTCACTGTACACAATCCATCACATGTTCATATTCCTTAGAAATTGTTTCTCCCTTGTAACTTCTTTTATACTGTGCTGATTATTAGTGCCATTAGATACACATAATGATCATGTTCATCACAGGGAACTTGTACCTATACGTGACATATGTTGATTCTTTTTACAAATTTCTCTCCCCTCTTTTCAACCCCTCTTTCCCTCCTTATTTACAAAGCTTTGTTTGCACTTTCCCTTCTTTTTTCATTTTTTCTTTTCCTTCCTTCCTTCCCCGCACAGTTCCCCTATCCTTTTTAACAATTTCTACCTGTTTCGCATTTTCTAGTACACGTCTTGATTCTTATTTACACTTCCAGGTTCACACACCAGAGAGAATGCAATATTTACACATGTACCTTCAATCAGTACACTCTTTCAGAGGATGTTATTTACTCCTTTATATTTCATTACCAGCTCTGTATTGACAAGTGCCTGAGTGATCAATTTAGCCTCTATAGGTATCTTAAATCTTAGACACATATTTCCAGTGTGCCACTTGCAGACTCACAGAATCTCTAAGCTAACAGAGTCAGTATCACTGCCTTTGCCTGCCTCGTCTGCCAGCCTTCTCGTGTTCTCAAACACCACAAATATTTCCATCATGACCTGGATGCTCAATCCAGAAAGCTTCACCTAAACATTGACAGACTCCTTTTCCTCAGTCATCTACCCATCAGTGTGTCCTATCCATTTCATATGCAAGGGCATCTCAAAGCTATTTTGGAAGCCTCTGCCTTGCTGATCTTTAAAAACACATGCAATGTTCCATGCTACTTACCAGAGTTCTGTCAATCATTTTCCACAATCTGTGTTCAGACAGAGTACTCACCCTTATCATAACCTCCATGTAGAAAGATATAGTGTTAGGGTATCACAGCCATTCATTACCAGATTACCTTGCAATTCTATTTATAATCTACACTTGGAATTATTTATTTATGCTCATGAGAGTAATTATCTCCTATCAGCTTCTGCCCAGCAGCACACCCCAGATCATGGAAATATCTTGTATGCAGCATGCTATGCTGTGTGGGTAGGGATATGAGTGGTAAATGGGTTACCTTGGCTCAAATTCTGGTT